TTTCACATATCAAAATTATTCTTTTGCATGTAGGAAATAAACAGAGGCTAAAATTTGGATGCACTTTAAATAAACAGGAAAAACAGTTGATTTTACTTGAATTCTAGGATATACAGAGCTGTATGCTGACAATATGTAAACAACTTCCAGTCATTTTTGTACAATGATATTTTTATCTTTCTCACTGAAGAGCTCACAATTATCAAAGGGAGATAATTCAATTTCAAAGTTAATGCCTGCTTTTTTAATAAAAAAATTCTCATATTTATAGAGAGAATACCAACAAGGTTTTAACATGCCATTTAAAATGATGTTATGTTTCATGAGTAACATGAATTGAAGGAGCCGCATTTCATTAAAAAACTTTCCCAAATATTGCACTTTTTTTAAAGAAAAAATCAACTTTAGACACCGTTTCCATGGTAATTACTCAACATTCATATGATCTAACTTTATTTTTTGAAGTAGTTTATGAGGTTGTACTTTCCAGCCAAATATGAAAAAGATCTGTGACTATGCGTGCCACAAAAGTTTAAGTGGTTACAGAGAATGGGTATTAACTATTAAAACGCAAATTCTGTTCAAAGCAGCAGCACGTTCCAGAAAGTGCAAGGTATGCAGAAACAATTAATAGCTTGCGTTTTTAATTTCTAATAGGGTATGCCCTTGCGATATTCAAATTTGTTAATGACCTAAATTCAGTACACGTACTATGCATTCATCACGTGACCGTCCATCGATGGGACCAAACTTCATACAGTACAGAGTAGGTTATACTATGCTATTTCCATTTAAGTTCTGTGATAATAGAACAGCTGAATAAAAATAATCTCAGTTTTAAACACAATTCCCATTTTTGCACTTCTATTTTTCGTTTATTTCTCATAGTAAGCCTTAACAGTGCTGCGTGCCTATCTTTATGTGATGCCATAGTAGACATTCCACGCATAAATTAGACCTCGCCCCCCTTTTTAAGCCCTAACAATGCTGCGTATATTGAGTTAATCAAATTTTGATTGCATGTTGAAGATTTTTTTTTTCATTTTTTATAGGATTTTGTTGAAGGTTGCAGAAATCACCAATGTGCAATTAATATGAAATGTGTACCTGGTCCTTTTGGTGCATATTCGTGTGAAATATCAGGTAATTTATTGTAGAAGATGCTTACTTCTACACGGCACCTGATTCCATCTTTGATATTTTAAGTTCCTTATTTGCTCTATACCCGATTCGACATGTTTAAATGGAATTGAATACTGCTCGTCATCTCCATATTTTTTTTTTCGCACGAATATTTAGAATTTAAAAAAAAAGTTGCGTACATTGTACAAATGAATACTAGATATTTTGTTGAAAGTTTAACTTCTTGTATGCGATGAAAATATTTAAAAAGTCACAAAATGCAATTGTTCACTTGACAAAAATTATAGTGACTCTGCGTATATCTTGATTGTTTTTGTATATCATACTAATTTACTAGTACTGCATTATTAATTAAACAAAAAAAAAATAATAAATAGAAATTAACGAACAAATATTGTGATGTTAGTCTAAATAAGAGTTATTAATCTTTAAAAGCAGAGCAAACATGGACGTCTAAAACACATGTAATTTTATGCACCTGCTCATCCTGTATTTTATACATTTTTATATCTTATTTTGTAGGTTGACCTCGATACTTTTTTTTTTCCGTAGTCAAAATCATGAAAATGTTAACTAACTTTTATTCACGACGACTTTATTTCACAATTAACGAAAGGTAAATTAGTTCACGGCGATAAGTCTTGCGATCAACCTATTTTTTAATATGTTGTTAAGAGAAAGAGAGAGGTTAAGGACCGGTTGGCGGCGTAAAATATTTGGGATGAAGAGGCTCTCACGAACCTCGCAAAAATTTTTCGCACGCAAATATATGTTGGTTTACAGTATTGAGTCAGCTATCTGTGTAAGGGGACAGGGATCAATTATTTAAAAAATTAAATTGTAGATTGTGGACCTCTTCCTACCTTGAGAAACGCATTAGAAATAAAATCAAAGGGACAGTTTCTAACAATAGGAGTTGGTTCCCTTAGGATATTCCAATGCTATCCCTGGACTCATGAGAAAAAATATAGACAAAAAGTTATATGTCAATCAGACGGAAATTGGACACATTACCAAAACACCCCTTGCAGTATGTAAAATTATCATGAAAATGCATATTTAAAAGCTAACATGAATTGTAAACAACTTAACATAATCATAAGTTGCCTTCTAATATCATTATTTCTTAAGACAATTTCTTTAAGAGAATTTTTAAAACTAATACATTATGATTTATTATTATTCAGAACCTTAGAAAAGAGAATTTTTGTACTTGATTTCCTTTATTTTTAATTCATATTCTTAGTATATTATATTTAATATAATTAACAATCCTCTTTTCAGACTTGGTCACCTGTGCTACTGAAGTGACGTCAGTAGAGACTCTGAACATTGATGATAAACAAATTGACGTACCATATGTTTACTCACAGGGACACAAATGGGCGGTAAATCAGTTTACAAGTGTAACTCTCTAGATTTATTTTTTAATGTATTATTTTATAAAACGCCTTCGTACGATTTCAAATTTTGATATCAGAAGTACATAATATATAAACAACTTGAAGATGTTTTCCTTTTTTTGTATGAACTCTTAAACCTTTTTTTCTATCAAAACCAACTACATTTATTGGGTGTTTGCCTCTCACACTGTCTGCGCATTTCGCACTAAAATATCCATTTTACCGCTGGATCTTGGTATTGACAAGCCTTATTTTGAATACACAGAAATATTTTTTTAAATAAACATCTCTTTTAAAATGATGTTAAACTTGCTTTCGTTGAATAAATTCTTCTTTGAAGGCCATAATATAATTAATTACAAATGTCTTGTGTATTTGCCCTTTTCTTGACTTCTAAACCATTCTTTATAAATTGGATCATAATGTTTACACTGTCAAATATACATGTCCTTGACATGTAGGCTATCATTCAGACTGCAAATTCCTGTCATGTTTTCTAATTGCAGAATAGCTTCCTCTTCATGTCAATTGACCAAGACAAAAGCCTCTTAAATTTATCTGTGGTGAATGAGTCTTAACATTAAGAATAATAATTAATAAACCGCTTAAGCTCGTTTTAAAAACTATACGTGAAATTGTCTCTTTTCTTAGGTGATACAAAGGAGATGCTTTAATAATACAGACTTTTATAGAAGTTGGTTCAACTACAAGACTGGTTTTGGTAATCTCAAAGAGGAATCCGATTTCTGGATCGGTATGCCTGAGAAAAGTTTTATTCTTCCTAAAAAAAATATATGTTTTATATTATAGATATTTTTGATGAGAAGAATGAATTATAAACACCAATAGAATTCTTTTTTATTATTTGATGTCACAGCTAATTTCTTTAATTGAATATATGTTTATGGACAATGTTGCAACAGGAAATGACGTAATACACATGTTGACGAAAAATGGGTACAATCATATGAAAGTAGATATGCTGAAGACAGATGACAAGCCATTAGAAGCAGAATACAGTTATTTCTTTGTCGGTAATGAAAGCACAGAATACATCTTAACAATAAGTGGGTTCACTGGGATATATGGTGAGAATAATATACTATATTTTCAGTTATATACCTTAATTCTTAAATATCAAACTAGAGGTAGTGTGAGCAATGAACTCACTAAATGATACCCCCGCCTCCCATCGCCTCCCATATGGTTATAATGGCAAAGCCCATGTTTTGCTTTGGCCGGGAAACCCAAAATATGTGTCGGATCAAAAGGTAAAATAGGAGGCGTACATAATGACAATATGTAATAAAGATTCTGTAAAGTTTCATTAAATTTCACAGTGGTATAAGAGAAGATGTGGATAAGAGATAGGTACCCCTAAGCGTAAAAGACAGACAGACAGACAGACGGACGTACGTACAGGTAGACGTACAGACGGACGGACGGGCGTACCGATTACTATATACCCTCCCACTTTTCAAGCAGGGAGTATACCTATAGTTTTAAGGGCAAAGTCCATGTTTTGCTGTGGCCAAGAAACCCAAAATATGTGTCAAATCACGAAGTAAAATGGGAGGTGCACAATTGCAGTATGTAAAAAAGATTCTGTGAATTAAGTTTCATTAAATTTTACTCAGTGGTATAAGAGGATTTGCGGATAAGAGATGGGTACCCCAAAGCGTAACAGACGGGCGGACAGACGGACGTACAGACGGATGGACGGACATACCGATTACTATATACCCTCCCGCTTTTCAAGCAGGGGGTATAATAACCAGATTACTGACCTTTGGCGAACATTGACTTTTAAATTGCATATCATATAAGGTGTCTTAATATAAGGCAGGTGACATCCCCTATTAATCGGTAACATCAGCCTTGATTTCCATGCATTGGTCAGTTTGACGGAACATTGCGATGTAGAATTCAGTTTTAAATATTAAATGAGTCAGCATGAATACGGCTGAATAATAGAAAGATATGCAATTATGGATTCTTTCTTTGGTTGAAATATTGTTTGTTCTTCAGTTAAAAATTTTAAAATATACATGTATAATTTTAAGTTTCAGAACAAACCATATCACCAACGAAAAAGCCAATATAATTGTTTTATCATATAGTCAGAATTCGAATCATATGTAGTGAGACCACATGACGATTTTATCATAAACAAACTTCTGTTGCAAAAAATAAATGTCTCGATCACAACTTACATCTTTCGTCTTACATCTGTGCTATTTAAAACATCGCAACATTTTGAAAATAATCCTGCAGTAGACTTCCTTGGCATTTTTTCTTGCTTCGATACACAGCCTCGATCGTTGCCTTCATATTATTTTCAACAACGTTTGAGGAATGGTGAAATCATAATACCCCGCACATGCACTGACCCTGCGGTGAATACGGCTTCAAACTCAGTGAATCAGTAGTGCTATGAACTGTTTCCGTTTGCGTAGATAATAAAAGGACTATTCATAGACTTTATAATAAGTTTGGTTACACGGCGATTATAACGACCATAAATTCTACTATATCCTAATATTACACGACGCTGTTAAATTTACTATACTATAATTTTATCTGTCAAAAGTCTACCTAAGTTTAAAACATTGTCATATTAGAAGAATGCTTTTGATTATCTAATAAATTGGGAGATCTAATTGAACATAATTTCATCTGAAGTGTTGATTGTGACGGCACAATGCCGCTGCACGTACACTGGGCCGCCGGTGAATACTACCTCAAGTCCAGAGAATATGTAGTGTTATAAATTGTTTGCACTTGTATAGATTTTATAGGGGCTATAATTAGACTAAATAACGATGCTTAATTCTTTATAACTATACATTATATTGATAGTGAATCATTATGTAACTTTTATAATCTTCACTTATTTCTTTTGTCATGAGCATGTATTTGACTAAAATGGATAATAGATATTATAGAAGAAAAGCCTACTACCAATGAAAGTAAAAAATATTCAGTTAAAAATTATACAAAGACAATATGTACAGGTGATAGTCAAATTATTTTTTGTTACACAATATTAAATGTCTCAATGTATCAGAATATATAATTTGATATTTTATTTAGATTGTATGGCAGACAAGACTGACAAAAGTGCAAACGCAAATGGTATGAAATTTAGCACAATTGATGTTGACAACGATCCATTGGGCGGAAGCTGTGCTGCAATCTGTCACTCAGGCTGGTGGTTCCATTCTTGTACTCGTGGGAATCTTAATGGATTGTTTGGAATCGAGAAAACATTTTCTGTGATGCGTTGGACGTGTGCAGACGGTCGGATATGTCCCCTCAAAGCCACAAGAATTCTGCTCAGAATATAGAAATAAAATTAGACCACCGTTAAACTACATGAATTGCAATGGTGGGAAGGGATATCAGCTAAACTATGCACAGTGATGACATTAAAAACCATGCAAGATCAAAGTTATGATTAACATCGAAGTTTATTTTTGTTTTAGCTCAGCTGAGCTGAAAGTTCACATGAGCTTTTCTGATAACATTTTGTACGGCCTCCGTCTGTCTGTTTAGCTGTCGATCCGCATGTCTGTCCATGTGTCTGTCATTAAACTTTTTTTCACATTTTCGACTTCTCTAAAACCACTGGGCCAATTTCAACCAAACTTGGTACAAAATATCCTTGGTTGAAGGGAATTCACATCTGTTCAAATGCACGGACACATCATTATTTAAAGTAGTCACTAACATAATTTAGAAAAAGTAAAACTTTGGCTGTACATGTAGTGTAGATTTAAATTTATTCAAATCATGACCTCTGGGGCAAGGGTGGGGCTGTTAATCGTTTTACATAGGAATATATAGGGAAAATCTTTAAAAATCTTCTCTAGAATAGCAATGGCATGAATGATCAAATTTATATGGAAGCATCGTCAGATAGTGTTGATTCAGGTTTGTTCAAACATTGACACCCCGGGGTAGGCGGGGACACAATGACCGATCAAAGTCTTACTTAGAAATATATAGGAAAATTCTTTAAAATTTTCTTCTCAGGAACCACTGTGCCAGGAAAGAAAAACATAGAGGGATGCATCATCAGGTAGTGTAGATTTAACTTTGTTCAAATCATGACCCCCGGGGGTAGGGCGGGGGCACAATGGCTGATCAAAGTTTTGCATAGAAATATATAAAAAATTCTAAAAATCTTCTCAATAAGTACAAAGCCGTGATTAGTCATATTTATATGGAAGCCCCATCAGGTAACGTAGATTAAAATTTGTTCAAATTATGACCCCTGTAGGTAGGACAGGGCCACAACAGGGAATTCAAGTTTTACTTGGAAATATGTAGAACAATTCTTTAAACATTTTTTCAACAATGGCAAAGCCATGATTAGTCAAATGAATATGGAAGCACACTCAAGTAGTGTTGATTCAAGTTTGTTCAAGTCATGACCCCTTGGGGTAGGGCGGGGCAACAATGTAAGTTCAAATGTAAAGGGCAATAAAGCCACAGGTAGTCAAAGAAATAGGTGATCATCATTAGATAGTGTAGAGGACTCAAGAATGTTCGAATTATACTCTCTCCCTTCTAAGGATTGGTTGGGACCACGTTTGGGTTTAAACTTTCAAATAATAAACTGATTTCTGTTTTTATTCGTAGCCGCAGTGCTCAGGTGAGCGATGTGACCCCTGGGCCTTTTGTTAACAAAGACTTTTGCTCTATGTACTTTAAAGCTAATATAAATGATTTTTTTTTCAAAAGTTAAAAATACCCCGAAACAAATGATTTATTTAATATTGTTTAACGCCGATTCAGAAATTTTTCAGCCATGTTTCGGCGGACAAAACAAATGATGAAGTAAAAAAAAACAACTTTAAACTGTAATGGATGATATAAAGTAATTTTAAGACTTTTAATAGGATCACATGTCGGGTATTATTTTTTGTAAAACTTGGACATAGTGATCTTCGTTATTTTCATCTTTTACAAAGTAAGAGATGATTAGGCGCTAATTTAAAAAAAAAATAACAAGGAAGATTCATACAAGGTAGTAATCAAAAGATAAATTAAAATATATTCAAAAGGTAACTTAAATAACATTGTTTTTGTTGTTTTATCTTTCACTACGATATTGACAGTAGTGAAGGATAAACTTCAAGAGTACTATGCACCAATATATTCAAGAAGTGGTGTAAATCAGATGCGCATACTCAAAAATTCCAGAACTTTTGGACAATTTGAAATCACAAGATTTTACCAAAATCAACAGCTTAAAAACTTACGACTTTTCAACTTGATACACAATCATTCCCCACGATAAATTAAAGTTCAGGCTTTTTGATATCATTGACAGCTGTTTTTTCAATAAGAATGGAACTCGTAAATCTACTTACCTGGTCATTGGTCATTTGCAAAATTATTTTCTTAAAACACATTCTGATTGCACTCACAGGCACTTTTAAGTTGACATCAAATAGATGCTTGAGTTTCTGATTGAGAATATCTATGTGGTTTTTGGAGACCAGGTATTCCAACAATTTATTGGAATTCCCATGGGTATCAATTGCGCCCAGTTATTTGCAGACCTATATTTTGTATTCATATGAAGCAGAATTTGTGCAAAATCTTATGCGTGAAATGAAGAAAACACTTGGTGTGGCCTTCAACTCGACATTTAGATATATCGACGACGTATAATCAATTAACAATGGTAATTTCCTGAAGAACTGAAGAAGAGATTAAACATTTATTGTTTGATTGTAAAATTGTTAAACCTATATGGGGAAAAGTGAGCAATTTTCTAAAATATGATATTACTTGGAAATTAATTGTACTTGGATGATATAGCGAACCCAATGGGAAAACTTTGCTTTATAATAATTTGATAGCATTTTTTAGCTTTATTATGTATAATTATAAGATGAAATGCAGACTACAAAATGAAATATTCTCAGAGAAACAATCTCCTATAAAGACTGATATGCTTTATATTCAAAATGATGCACTTAGGAAAACTTATCAGATTAGAAGTAATATTTATCATGATTTAGCTGATTTCTTGTGTTAATACTGATATTGTGATATGTTTGTGACTTGTTATGATTTTAATAAAAGAAAAGAAAAACAATTGTAATTTCCATTCCTACGTCAATACGATATACCTTGGTGAGATTGAAATAAAGATACCATAAAATCTGACACATCTATTTCAAACTTGCATATTTAACTTGAACAAGATTCCCATGGACCACAACGCTCACCTGAGCACTATGGCTAGAAAAGAGTAAATTTGGTTTATTATTGAAAAGTTTAAATCCAAAAGTAGTCCCATGACCAATCATAGCTTTGCTATTCTTGAGAGGATGATTTTTAAAGAATTTTCCTATATACGTCTATGTAAAACTTTGATCAGCCAATGTGGCCCCGCCCTATCCCCGGGGTCATGATTTGAACAAACTTGAATATACACAACATGAGGATGCTTCCATATAAATATGATCAAATCTGGCTTTGCTATTCTTGAGAAGAAGATTTTTAAAGAATTTTCCTATATATTTCTATGTAAAATTTTGGCCGGCCACTGTGGCCCCCGCCCTACCCCGGGGGGTCATGATTTGAACAAACTTGAATCTATACTACCTGAGGATATTTTCCCATAAGTTTCATCTTTCTTGGTACAGTGGTTCTTGAGAAAAAATTTTTCATTAATTCCCAATTCTCTCCCCTTGAATGAGGGCGTGGCTCTTCATTTGAACAAATTTGAATTCCCTTCACCAAGGGTTGCTTTGTGGCAAGTTTGGTTGAAATTGGCCCAGAGGTTCTTGAGAAGAAGTCGAAAATGTGAAAAGTTTTCTGACAGACAGGCAGCTATACGGACAGACAGACAGACAGACGCCGGACAATGTGATCAGAAAAGCTCCCTTGATCCTTCGACTCAGCTGAGCTAAAAAGACGTTAATGGTATTCTAACAACCAAGCTATATGATAAACATGACTTTACTTTTTTATCGTCAACTTCCGTTTCTTATTGATAAATATTCCTCTATCACACGCATACGGAGTATATATATCTCAGTATATTCGATACTCAAGAACATGCTCTAGGTAGAAACGATTTCTAAAACGAGTTAAATTATTGACAAGCAAGTTGGTGAAACACGAATATCAACAGTCTTGTTTAATGTCTTCATTTCGTAAGTTCTATGGTCGATACAATGACCTTGTCAGCAATTACAATTTATCATTGAGTCAAATGCTGACTGACGTTTTTCATACTAATTGTTAGTCTATTATTTATACACTGAATTGACAACGGATTTTTCCGTTATTTCCCGATCATGAGAAGGAGCACACGACGGGTGTGACCGGTCAGCAGGGGATGCTCTCTCCTCCATGGCACCTGATCCAACCTTTGATGTTACGGATGTCCGTGTTCGCCCTGCTCCTATTTTCTTTGTTTTACGGACTTTGATATTGAATACTGCAGTTCGTCATCTTAATGTTTCTCATAGTCCTTATCTTCATATCCTTCTTGGTATTGTTGTCTTCTTTTTCCATTTTACTAACTAAAGCAAAAAACATAGAACATTCTTTGCTTATGAAAATGGCGGGGGTGAAAAATGAATTTTGCTCAATTATTTTAAACATTAGCTAGCTATACTTTTTATACCACTATTTACAACCCCGGCCTCTCATAAAGAATCAAAGAAAAAAAATAATCTCAATAACATTTCATGATAAGGCTATTGAAAATAGCATTCTGAATTCGGCAATCCACTGATTTTGAAAGAACGTAAAGAGTTTTTCGGTATTTTGCTGACAGCTGTAATTTTGCCTGGCCTGGAATTCAGTTCATTCAAAAAACCGACCTTGGATACGAGGATATACTTTTTAAAAGATGGAATACACAAGTGCAGAAAATAAAGAGGTGACAAAAGTAATGTAGATGACTTGTTCCTACCTCTTTATCACTCTTGATATTACTGAAAATATTAAGTGCAGTTTTTTTTTTCATTTTTTCTTTATTGATTGAAATAAAAAACATGTTAATCTAAAATCTAAGTTGTACAAAAGTTATTTGGATTCATATTACATGTAGTTATTAGGACCTAAATTTCCTCATATTTAATTTATTCATTCTATTTTTTTTTAACAAATATGTATAGATAAAATTTTATGCTTCACAAAATGTTTCATATGCAAGCTTTTTGCATTGTTATTGTCAAATCAATTAAATTTTGTAGTTATTACTAGTAAGTTATATTAAGGTGGGGTTCTATTTTAATCGGCATCAAGGTTACGGTAATTTTAATTAGCACCATCCTTTCTCCTCCTATGTTTAATAGTTCTAGTTGAAAAGGTT